TGATCTGCTGTTCTTTCGCTCTTTACCGGCTGTAGGTGGAAGCGATCCCAGAAGCCCCAGCGCCACTGTGACGGCGGGCTCGTCTCACGAATCGGGAAGAGGCGAGAAGGAAGCGATGACAGCGGAGGAGCTGCGCAGGAGGAGACAGGCTTACTTCGACAGGTGAGCGCTAAGTAATCGACTGCAAATTACTAATTAATTCTTTAAACTTGTAATTTGATTACATTACTGATTATTGCATTTAAAAAGTAATCAGATTACTAATTACTTTCAAGTTTAAATTTTTTAAACCTAAAAAATACTGAAAAATTACTTAAGTATCAAAACAGCAACTTGAACGATCACTTGCATTTTTTCCTGATAACAGCGAAAAGAACATAAACATATGTTTTGTAATTTTTGTTTGCACGTAAGAGCAATACATCATTTGAAACTGTAAAAGTTTGTTTATTTGTATACACTCGCAATACCAACAAAATATTGTGCTTTTGTAAAATAAAGAAAACAAATAGGATGTGCTTTCTGCATTCTCAGTCTCCGCGAATATCTTTCTGAAATGCGTCACTAAAATGAACGAAAATTCAGCGAATACTTGACACACAGACATGAGAAATATATCTTAAGAAAGCTTGAAGTGTCTGTTTTTAAATGAAGTAATCTTGAAAACAAATATAAAGTAATTCATTTAAAACCAATGTGAAGTACAGTCTTTCCCGTCTGAGCTCTCCTATAATGTGGTCACACCCGCGCATCTTGCTCTGTAAGATAATCATCCACACGAAGCCAGGCTTGAGACGCGCCAACATATAAACTCCCACATCACCTCTGTAAACAAAGCGTTAAGATTCATCAAGTTCATCTAGGCTGCTTTTCGTTTTTGGAACAAGACGCGCTGTGAGGAATAAACCTTGAATTAACCTCAGAAGAAGAATGCGATGCGACGCGGCTTAATCCAGTGGAGGATCTCATTCTGATGAGTCATTTATTTTTACTTATATCAGTGTTATTGTGACATGAAGTACACATTCTTGAGGTGAACTTTTCCCAAACTATAATGCAATACTAAAATGTGAAATTGAGTGCAACATTTTGAAATATGATAGGAAACCTTTCATTGCATCTAAATGTTGTAGGACTTGTCTGCATTTTTAGCTCGCATTCTCATACTGACGCACAAAACATGATATTTACTTCATATGTTTTAACACTGCATTTGTAACTTAAGTAACGTAAATTTATTCACATTAGGTAATCAAATTGCATACATTTAAAGTGTAATGCATTACATTACTACGTTATCAGGAAAAGTAATTATAATACAGTAACGCTCTGGCGCAGAGTAATGATGACGGTCTGATCTCCTCACAGGCAGCAAGCTCAGTCCACCGCTCACCACAGCAGCTCCGCCGGTAAGAGATTCTGTCTGCCGTCATCTTCCTGATTACAGACGTCTGCTTTATGAATCTGTCTGGGATCTGCGCTGCTCAGCAGATCATGTTGTTTTGCAGACGGAGGGAAGGACAGCGGGACCAAACCCAGCCAGTGACGGTCCATCAGCGCCGGTGACGGACGCCCTCGACCCGACCTCTCTCTGGGAATGATGGGACTCACATCTCCTCTCAGAACTGGCCCGGGACCGATCAGGTCCTGCTGTGTAATAAAGGGACATTCGTTTAGCTTCGCTTCTCCTCTTTGAGTTGAACGAAGTGAAAGGGAAGCCTTTCCCGGTTCATTCCTCTTTCTCAGACAGACACACGAGCGAGACGAGACCGCGGCGTGAGGAGGGAGCTGTCAGCGCTGGGATCACTCCTGCATTCTGGGACCATTGGGCTTTACTGGCGTTACTGGATCTCTGTTCTTCTCCTCTGTGGACTGTAGTGAAGACCTTCTGCTGGTCACCGGTGAGCGGCGGGTGACGTGCCCTAGGTAGACGGCTCAGTGAGGGCAGATGCTGCTGTGGAGATCAGTCTTCATACAGATTCAGACCTACACTTGTTTTAGTCGTTCATCAGTCGTCCCTCTTTTGGATCTAGGTTGTGATTTCTCATGGTTTTCACATTCTTTTCTATGATTTCATGCGTTTGGTGGCACAGCAGCGTTTCTGAACTAGTTTCACATTCAGCAGTAGTTTTTAAGTGATTGGTTATTCTTGAACTCCTATATACACTTACTGTTTCTTAAATAAAAACGTTTCTTTTCCCCCTGAGTGGATGTTGTTTGTTTCTTCTCTCTGGAATATTTTGATTCTGTGAGTCTCTTGAAGATGTCAGATGTTCCTTCAGCATTTAGCGCTGGACTTTCATTCACGATGGAAAGAAGAAGAACGAGTCTATCTGAATGCCGTCATTCAGCTGCAGCAGTGTACAAGTAAACATGATGGAGAGATGTACTGTCTCAGAACGATACTCCCAGAAACCAGTCAAAACTGTGAAACATTCCCACATTAAAATCATATCCAATTGAAAGAATCAGAAAGAGCTTTATTGCCCGGTATGTTTACACATACGAGGAAATAGTTTTCGTGACAGAAGCTCCACAGTGTAACAGAATGACAGTGACAAGACGAGACTGATAATTAAAACAATAAACCCAGGATAAGTAAATAGGAAATAACAATATACAAAAAAAATACACAATGTACAAAGTCAAACATTCTCTTTTCTCTGTGATTTCTCCTGACTGTAAAACCGAGGCCGAATAAATGATAACAGAATCATTTTTGGCCGAGCTATCCTATTAAGTTGATGACCTGCAGTTATGTAGATATGAATATCTGTTAAAGTCTGAATGAAATTACAGCAAGTTTCCTATAATCATTCTTAAAGGAATAGTTGGATGCAATGGATGCTCTGCAGTGAATGGGTGCCGTCAGAATCCAAACAGCTGATGAAAACATCACAATAATCCACAAGTAATCCAAGCACTCCAGTCCATCAGTTCACATCTGGAGAAGACAAAAGCTGAAACACATCCAGCATTGAGACGCTTTAAATTCAAACCTGATCCATTGGTGAGCAAGTGATGGAGTGATACATTTCTCCAAATCTGTTCCCACGAAGAAACAAACTCATCTACATCTTGAATGGCCTGAGGATGAGAACAATTACCATTCTTTCATTAAAGCACTTAAGATTTCATCAAAACTGAAACTCAAACAAGTGAGAATAACCTGGTGATCTGCCATCACTGATCTGTTTCAGACAGGTCTAAAATTGTTTGATTGTTAATAGATAATCTATAAAAAAAAGTACACTGAACTTTGTCTCTGCAAACAGTCAGAACACAACAGACGGGAAAGATCCTCGGCAGCCTGTCAGTGAGTATGCATGTTACTTTATGCGCGTGCTTATAGTTAATATTTTCAGATGTTAGGGCTGGTTTATTGTTCAGTGTTTTGCCACCATGTTTGTTGCTTTTAGTACTTCTAGAAATCCTTCAGTAAAGAACAGAGGGAAGAATGATGAATCGCGGGTCCTTGTGTGTCTAATATGAAGCAACGTTTCTCTAGAATAATTAAAACTCAATATAAGCTGTTTTTTGTATCAACAGGTCAAAGGATTTTTGAAAAACGATTACGAAATGGAGTTAAGAGTGCTGTTCTCCCTCATTTATTCCTCTGGTTTTCTGTGCGTCCTTAACAGTCAAGAGCCCAAAACTCCTGACGTCACGGATCTGGCCTTCAAAAATATTGACTTTGCCATGAACCTCTATCGCAAGATATCAAGTTATCATGACAAAAACATCTTCTTCTCGCCGCTGAGTGTTTCCACGTCTTTCGCCACGCTCTTACTGGCCTCCAAGGGCTCGACACGCAGTCAGATGGCGAAGGGCCTGAATCTGGACTCTCTGGACGGGACTGGAGACGCGACGCTCATCCCACAGCTCTTTGAGCAGCTGCAGAAGAACATCTCGCAGGACGGAAAACTGCACATGGAGCAGGGCACGGCACTCTTCGTAGACGAGCGCTTTAACGTCGAGAGAGTCTTCAGCGATCAGATCAAGACGTTCTTCGGTGCCGATGTGAACAATGTGGATTTCAGTGAGACAGAGCTCAGCAAGAGCACCATCAACGAGTATGTGAGCAGAAAGACCGGCGGCAAAGTGAACGAAATGGTGACAAGCGTCGAGCCGCTGACACAGATGATGCTCCTCAACACCATTTTCTTTCAGGGTGAGTTTCTATTATCGGCCTGGGAACATAAATCCATGCATCGCGAATCGAGAAATGATTCCGCATCGATTCTGAGATTTCCCGAATGCATGGCGATTCTTTCTCGAGTCGAGTCCGAGCGTAGTTTTGAGCAGCAGATGGCGCTGCATGCTTTAGAAACCGTCGTACTCTGCTCGTTTCCAAATCCTTCCACACACTTGAACCTAAAATAATCATTCGAATTACAAGGAATGTTGAAGTGAATCACAAGGGTGTTCACAGTGGGCTGTGTTTACATTAATCTGGCGTCATTAAAGCATTCTGAGTCGAGGTGAAATTACGGACTCTTGCACAAGCTCTCAGCGCTCGTCTTCATGAGCGTTTGAGTGTGCGGATAAAAACTAGAGCACCATCTGCTGTTAAAATCTAAGCTCAGAATCCATTCCAGAGAGAATCGCCATGCATTCGTTAGATCTCAGAATCCATCCACGAACTGATTCTGCATTGATTTTTCGTCGCAGCCCTAGTTTCTATGCATGTGGAAACACTGAATTAAACAACTGGGATTTGATGTAAAGCTCTTTGTTCTCAAGGTGACTGGGATAGTCCGTTCGACCCCAACAGCACAGAAATGAGTCGCTTCTATGTGGACAAGTACAACATCGTTCAAGTCCCCATGATGGTGAAGGAGGACAGATTCTCCACGGCTGAGGACCGTGAGCTGCGAGCTCGAGTGCTGCGTCTGTCGTACCGCGGCGGAGCGGCGCTGCTCATCGTCCTTCCCGACGCCACAGCCGACTACACCGTCATCGACGACGAGATCAGCGCCGATCGATTCCACCGCTGGATCAAAAACATGAGACGCATGTGAGACACAGCCTTCAGCCGGTGCACGCTGTACGATACTGGCCTCCATTCGCAAATCCTGAAAGATTCCTCAGATACAAGTCCAAAATCTGTAGTCTTTAGGTGATTTCGCACCGGAGGAAACTTTCCATAGTTCCTAGAACTATTTGGTTAAGTTCCCGCTTTTTTTGGCGTGTCTGCACCGCAGGAACTAGGAATGTATTTAGTTCTAGGAACTCTGTTTGGGGGAACTAAATTAGCTCCTACTTCAGAGTAGGGTCTAAAACAGTCCTATTGACCTAATGTAGTCCTGCCCCTTTTTAACGCTGCGTTTGTTGTCTTCTGTCTTCCAGTTGTATTTCCACAGTGATCTCATGGATTCGTGAAGGAACCGCTCGTTTTTTTACTTACATTTGTTAAAACATTTGCTTTAAACATTACAGTGCTCACGATAACATTTGTTAACTCTACAATACATAAATCCACTTTACCAGCTGCATTACTCTTATACAGCGATGCCACAGAAATACACAGAGCTACCACACAAACGGAAGTTCAAAGACAATATTCTAAAGATGGTGTCAATGGGAACTATCAGTCACGCAAGTGTATGCTGATTGGCCAAACGCATACGAAACACCAGCTACCTGGCATTTTTAAAAAGCAGTGTACAAATATTTACTAAATATGTAAATATGTACGAAAGCCCCTTTTGTTCACTAATTTAACATGTTCACTGACAGCCAAATAATGACCACTGCAATCTAATTTTACATCCTATTTACCGTCTATTTACATCTGCAATACGTTGCATATACATGTTTCCAATCAGATGGCAAATAGATGTTTAGAAAATGTCTTTAAGATGTTTATGGTTTAGAGCGTATGTAAACCTGATGTTTTTCAGATGTTTGTGCAGAGCAGATTTTTCCAGATGAAGCCATCTTTAACAGACCTCTTGCAGACATATGTGTGCTAATTCAACTAATGATGCAATTAGTGCAACAACAACAAAACATTTGCTCCGCACACATCGACTTCGTTATGCCATGATTAAAATGAACACTAGAGATGGTTTTCGTTTGCTAGCCACCATTTCAGTTCTGTGTGTGGAAGTCTTATTACTGTCGTGCAGTCACTGATGACGACTGAGATCCCACAGTGTGACGAGGCTTACAGCTGGGATCATGTTCATACAGTCTGACAAACAATAATCATAAATCATACAGTGTGCGTCTGGCTGTAGAGCTGCTGCTTTTTACTTTAGTGCGTGTCACCATTTACTCTCCCTTGTGTTCCTCCAAAACACTGATGAACAAAACAAAGACCATTTTCACCTCAGCAGCATCATATCAGTGAATGAAACTGATGAGATAAGGTCGTCTCAAAGAGTCGAAGCATCATTAGATGGTGGTGCAGGACGCAAACATCACACTATGAGCTGCTGCTGCTGCTGTTATCGGGAAAGACCTTCGGGAGAATAAATGAAAGCTCATATTTGGTGGAACTCTTTATTTAACCTCTAGTTAAAACATCATGATTTACTTTTATACATGTTGTACTGTCTCTCAGAAAAATGGAGGTTCATCTGCCCAAGTTCAAGATGGAGCAGTCGTACAACTTGCATGAAATCCTGCCACATCTGGGCATCAGCAGCGTTTTCCTCCATTCAGCCAACCTGACGGGTTTGAGCAAAGACGCGCATCTGAGAGTCTCACAGGTGACTGCAGCCTCACACACACGTGTGTCTGTGTCTGTGTCTGTGTCTGTGTGTCTGTGTCTGTGTCTGTGTCTGTGTCTGTGTCTGTGTATGTGTCTGTGTCTGTGTGTGTGTGTGTGTAGGTGCTGCATAAAGCCGTCATCGAGGTGGATGAGAAGGGCACGACTGCAGCCTCGGTCACATCAGTGGGAATCACAGCTTATTCTCTGCCAGCCACCTTCATCATCAACAGGCCCTTCTTCTTCTTTCTGTACCATGAAGCCACTTCTAGTCTGCTGTTCATGGGCAGAGTGATTGACCCCACAAAGAACTGAGCCACTGACTGGAGACGCTTGCGCCTCTTCAACACATAGAACCACACACTAACGGAGCGATACTTCAGACAGAAAACATTACCAAACTCTGTGAACACTGTGTGGATAAGCACATTGTATTGTAAGAAATAAAGTGAGGAAATAGTGCCGTTTGCAGTCTGTCTGCTTTATTTCCGCTGGGCTCGCACGCCTCTACTGAATCAGTCAGCATCTTCTTAGTGTTTGAGTCGGGGTTAGACGTTCAGTGCCGCTGGCTGCATCAGAAACCATCAGCAAACTTCAATCCGCCTGCTTACACTGTGCAATAAAAAGAGGAATACTTTTGAGTGTTAAATAGAAGAGCAAAGAGGCTTTGGGACGTAGTAACACATCATTAAATGTGCTAATAGTTCAGAATCAGAATCAGAATGAGCTTTATTGCCAGCTATGTTTACACATACGAGGAATTTGTTTTCGTGACAGAAGCTCCACAGTGTAACAGAATGACAGTGACAGAACAAAAACACAGATAATACGAAAAATAGAAAAATAGAACAAGTAAATAAGGAATAAAAATATATAAATTGACAGTTGTATGTGCAGGTATATTACAATATACAGCTTTTGTATGTACAGGTACTGTATATTATGTGCAAATTTGAGGTGTAGACTGAGTATGTGTGTTAGATAAATAAGAGTATGAGTGAATAAATAGTGTGTGTTCCACAGTTATTGTCAATTTTTTTTTTTGCATCCATTCTGAGCCACTTCCGAATGTGGTTTTAAATCAGATATACACTATATGAATAAAAGTACTGGGACACAGCTGTTTAATTATTGAATTCAGGTGTTTCACCCAGACCCATTGCCACAGGTGTAAAAACTCAAGCACTGGCCATGCAGTCTGCATTTATATTTGAACTGTGGGTTGTGAATCTCTGTTAAACTGTAATGTATTTCTGTGATGCGCAGCTGTATTTTCAGCATCATTCCTCCAGTCTTCAGTGTCACATGATCTTCAGAAATCAGTATAATATGCTGATCTGCTGCTCGAGAAACATTTCTGATTATTATCAATGTTGAACACAGTCGTGCTGCACAATATTTCTGTGGAAATTATGACACTATCATTGAAAATTTTTTTGTTTTGCTTTTTAAGAAATTACTTTTCTTCATCAAGGATACATTAAATTGCTCAAAAGTGAGAATAAAGACATTTCTAATATTACAACTGATTTCAGATGAATGCTGTTGTTTTGAACTTTCTATTCATTAAAGAATCCTGAAAAATAAAATTGATTAAATGCCGTCTTGATGAGAAGAAGAGAAAAAACATCTTAATTATTCCAAACTTTAAATGTAGTCTTTCTCATTATAAAATAGATCAAAGTAGTGATGATTCATCCTGCACTGCACAGATTCCTGGTTCATGGCTGTACTGTAGATACATTACACTATACATGCAGCTCAAAACAGAACATGTCAAGCCCTTTCATGGGTCTGTAAAATGTACCGTCAGTGTTTCAGGTATAAACTGAGGCCTGTTTGATTACATGTTCAGTTTTAGATGTCAACCCTTGCATGTGTTTAATAGAAATGTAACAGTGCTGACAAATGTCTTGCCACTTCATCAATCCTGCTGTAATGAGTGAGTGAAGCTAAACAGAGTGGAGTATGTCCATAAAAGGCATCAGCTGTAGGATCTGAACATCACACACACACACACACACACACACACACACACACACTCACACACACACTCTCTCACACACACACACACACACACACACACAC